TATGCAATCCAATCGCCTGCACAAAGTAAAAAATATAAACTACATATTTGGCACTAAATTACAGGTATATGACTAATAATAACAGAAAACATACCAGGGCCTCGTGTCTCCCAGCGTATAGGACGTACTGACCGTGTGCCTGATGAACTGGGTTCCCGATAAAAAGTCGGGAAACAGTGCGGTACCATACCATATAACGTTGAATAGGAAAGTGCTGCGGAGGTGGGGTCAAGTCCCCTTGCCTGTCCCAAGTACCCAACTGCTCGTTAAGCCATGCCATAAATGTGTCGTCCGCCATGGACCGATCATCCCTCTCATAATGTAAAGCATGCCATGCAGGCGGAGTCGGTATAGGTTGCGGCAGGCCAAACTGACGAAATACCCACTCGGAGGCATGGTGCTCGACAATATCGAGGCATATGGGCGGGACAGAAGCCCTCCAAATATGTCGGCCGAACGTGCAATACGCTAGCAAGGTACCTATCACCTCATCGCTGTACGACGTCAGATGAACTATCAAATAAGAACACAAACCGTTAGTATGCACAACATTAAGTTAATCTATAACAAGTAAGTTTAGTTAGATATTCACATGTGCGTCCTCCAGCAGATCCAACACATCCCTGCAGAGGGGGAGATTATGATGAGCATCATACTCTCGTGCAAGAGTACGACGCATAACCCACCTACAGGCTAGAGGGAGTTGCGGAATTTCTACATTAGCCGGTAGCCGTGGTAGAGGTGGCTGTAATTGAGTATTAATTACACGACTAAACGTTAAAGAAAAATAAAAATAGGTTATACATTTTTATCTAAATTATTGCAAAACAAAAAATAGATATTAAATACATTCTCGTTCGTAATATTGAATTGAATGTCTTTTGTTAGCACTAGTATTGATTTGATTTTGGTTTGAGCTTTTGTTAGCATTATTTAATTTACTAATATTAATGGCTATAAAACTTATTAGAGCATTCAAAAGTTCTAAGTCCAATCTTGAAATAATACCTTAAAAGATAAAATTATGAAATTTTTTAAGAAATATTTATAAATTACATCACAATAAGTATATTTATATATTAAATATATCTAAAATTTCTATATATGTAATGTCGGGTTGGTTTGGTTTCAGTTTGACTTTCTTTAGTTAAAACCAAACCAAACCAATTATGGTCGATTTTTTTTCCAACACCAAATCAAATCAAATCAAACCATAGTCGGGTTTTTTTTTCGGTTTGACTCGAATTATCGGGTTGGTGCGGTTTGTCGGTTTTCTTTGTACCCTGACCAGAACATTTGAAAGTCACAATATTGAGTAAGCTGAATCCATAAAAATATATCTACTTTTTAAGTTTTCAAATGGTGCTCCAATCCTAGCTAGTTTTGTTTAGTCAAATATAAGTCATGATGTTAGTAGTATACCTGTTTACGTCATAGCTAGCTTTATATTCATTTATCTCGTGACAATCGACTATCAGTTAAAGAGTCGAATCAAATCGATTCCCATGAAGACTCCTCAAGTGAACTGCCTAAACTTGAAAATACAATCTTGTAGCTTTGGATGTTTTTGTGAAAAACAATATCCCCTCCATAACACATTTTATTTCTCGAGATTTAGAAGGCGTGAAGTTTGACCAACATTTTAGAATGTATTTTATTATATATTGACATAAGAAAAATTGTACAGCTAACGGTACTTTTCGTATAATTTTTGAACATTTATATTTTAATTTTAAAATATTAAATTGAATTACTCCAAAGATGAGTTAAATTAAATATTCATAAGCAGAATATGTTGTATGAATTAAAATAGAGGGAGTACTTGATAATAGGGGGNACCCCGCCCCGCCCCGCACATTTTTTTTAATAAAAAATCTTTTTTTGTGTGTGTTTTTTTTTTGCCAATAAAAATTAGCCAAAGGAAATCCTGATTGTTGTCTCATATGTAATTGTTCTGTCATTAGTTCACTACTGCATTTGTATTTTCAATGGCATTACCGTATACAATTATTTTTATAACTTACAATGTTCTAGAATGACTTTCATCTGCAAATATAAAATCTATGCCAAAAGTTTGTCGTTGGTTCCAACTTACGCTAGCAAAACAATGATGTTTCCTATTTAAGACTGCTCAAGAACATAATATTTAGCCTTTATATCTGTTAGTTCAAAAAATTAAATCTCCAACCCGCGACCCGCCCCATTTTTTTAAATTTAAAAATTGAACCCGCACCCGTAAACTTTCAAACCCCACCGCTAACGCTCAAACCGGCACCCGCCCGTTGCCATCCCTAAGAAGAAGGCTGTGTGATTCTTGAAAATAAATAGGCTGGAAATATGAGACGAATGAGTTGAACTTGACAGAGACACTACTTGAGAACGAGTGAATACTAATAGTGAAGATCAATATACAAGGATCAAATGGTTAATGCACTTGAGAATCGCCACTTGACTACACATAAAAACCAGAGTCCGTGACACCACTGTTTTGCCAGAAAGTAAATCCAATGAACTTTCACGGATTCCCAGTAGCTACACTATCCATGTCCGGGGCGAATTCAGCGTTTAAACTCTATGAGTTTAACTTTTATATCGTTAGTATTGAACCCATTATATTTTTAAAGTTATGCGTTCATATATGTTTTTAGTGAATTTTTATACATAAATTTATATTCGCATCGAAAGTTATGGATTCACATGAACACGATATGGGAAGACTGGATCCACCCCTCCCCCTGCCCATAACCCATAACCCATACCCAATAGCAGAGGCGGATACAGTGTACTACCTACGGGTTCAACTGAACCCATAACTTTCGACGCGGAGTAAAAATTTGTATGTAAAAATTCATTAAAATTGTAAAAATAGTAGATATGAACCCATAACTTTAAAAATATAATGGGTTCAATGTTAAAAACCTTAAAATTGAACTCATAGAATTTAAATCATGGATCCGCCTCTGCCCAATAGGCCAATCACACACACACCTACCTATATATAAACCCCTTCATTTCATGCCTTTTCCCTACACACACAAAGATTGAAACAAATAGATAAGAAGAAAAAAGAAGAACTTGAGATGGAGCATAATTACTTGGCCAAAAAAATTGTGGCATTGGCTTTGGTTGCCATTGTGTTAAGCAGTTTTAGCATAGAAGTGTCGAGGGCACAGGGAATATGTAACGTATCAGGAGAAGGTTTGATGTCATGTAAACCATCCGTAACAACCCCGAACCCCTCGGCGCCTACAGCCAAGTGCTGCAGCGCACTGTCACAAGCAGACTGGGGATGTCTTTGCTCTTATAAGAATTCTCAGTGGTTGCCTTCTTTAGGAGTTGATCCAACACTTGCAATGCAACTCCCTGAGAAATGCAAATTCCCTAATCCTCCCCATTGCTAAAGCACTAATTAAAAGTAAACTCTTTCATTTCCATATATAGTACGTTGAAATTAAGTGTTGGTCATTCAATTAATCGGCCGTAGCTATATTTGTACAACTTAATTCCGGTTATTCCAAACCCCACTTGTGAAAATATAATGGGTATGTTATTGTTTTAATTCTGGTTACTACCTTATTGTGTGTATTTTGAGCTTTGTTTATCTTCGTCTTTGGTTTCTAACTAAGGCCTATAATTCCCCTTTCATTATGGTTTATTTGGAGAAAATTGTTTGTTGGTTGTTTATTTTGGCTTGCATGGTTTATTAGTTTGGTGTTTTAGCTCAATAATTGCTTTAGCTTCATTTCTATTTTTTCACGAAAATGTGGAAAATTATTAGTGAAAGAAAAAATGAAAATCAAAACAGCGAGAGAACTGTTTAAGGTGTGCCCAGTTGGGTTTTTTGGCCGGATCATTCAGTGAAATCCCAATAAAAAAATTAAGCCACATAATTTCGAGCTATATATTATCCGCTATCTGGTCAGTGGTCACACTGGACTTTGGAGGCTGGAGCAAAGTACCATCTCCAAGCTAGAACATTTTTTTGAATATATGGCATAGTGTTTTAGGTTGCCACATAGGCACTCAAACAAAAGTGTATTTAAAATTTATGAGTTCATGCAGTAACCTCAAGTTAATATGCGATAATATTTGAATTTATAGTTTTAACATTTATAAATATTCAATAAATTTTTAATACATATAGAAAGTATGAATAAAAACTATTGAGTTTACGTGAATCATAAGAAGTATTGTCCGTCTCTGCAGCCAAAGGCCATGATAAATGCAGTCACGTGGTAGGACTAGCATAGAACTCTTACAACCTATGTTGCCCAGACTCACTAAAAATGTTACCAGGTGCGTGTCGGATCCTCTAAAAGTATGTGCATTTTTGGAGGGTCCGACGGGGATGCGGCAGGATTTTGGAGAGTCCGGACAACATAGCTTACAACAGAGATGGTGATTTTACCATTATCCAAGAAAGTAACTTCATAAGACTAAGCATGTTCTGCTGAAAAAAGAAAACACAAAAATACAGAAGCCTAAGACATAACCATCGGACAACTGGAAAAAAGACAATACAACTGCTCCTTAAAGAGAAGAAACATGGAATTCTATTACTTTTTGATATTCCAAGCGTGGGATGACCGAGGCCCGGTTGCAATTCCCTCATAGTATTGGCTGTCAAGCTTTCCTTTGTTCCATTGTATGACAAAGTCAGAGAATAAATCGCGTGCAGTCTCAGACGAAAGATCTGAGAAGAACAAATTCTTCTTATCTTTCAGCCAAGTAGCAAATTCATTGTTCTTAGAGAAATAATCATCTTTTGATAACTCTTCAAACTTGTTTTTCTGAGAAAGAAGGTAAAGCAATATAATTAAAAATCAAAGATGGAGGAATAAAGCCTGAGTGAAAATGGATGTCCTAATTATTTTCATAAAGGAAGTCGTGAGAAAGAACAGAGGAGAAAACAGTTACTGCTACTGCTACAATCTAACAACTTTTCAAGTATTAAAGAGCTCTGAAAGTGTGGACGCCATTAACAATTCACCACACAGAAATTATTGCCCTTCTTGAATCTGACAGGTTCTCTTCAAAAGAATGATTCCTCCATATATGAATACCTTGGTTTACTTCACAAATACTATTTTATATCTGCAATCAAGACGACAATAGTCCAACCAAGATTTCAGATATCACAACTGAAGAAAATGGAACTCCAGTATTTTTCCAAGTTTACAGACTTATTTCTAAGCATCAGCCAGCCACATATGTAATGAAGACTCTCTACAAGAATTAACATAGATAACTGAAACGTCATACCACAAGAAAGCTATATCTAACTATCAGTTCCAGCCAAAACAGAAAAAGACGAGCAACCTATTATATTCAACAGATTCAACACCAACTTAAACCAATGCTACCTACATACAGCAACAAATTAGTGCGGAGGATAATAACTATGCGAGCAGATAACAATTTCCTTCCACGAGATATGATACAGAGTAAAATGGTAAGCTTGAGAATGTTATTTTGAAGCAAAAGAAATGTAGGTATTAAACAAGAAGCACTCACCGATTTATCCTTATGTTTGTGGCTCTTGGTTTTGTGCTTTTCCCCTGACTTCTTCTCTGAAGCAATATCAGTGAGTCAGTGTGTCTAACATATCTTCTAGCACCAAACCAGTAACATACATGGAAACCATTTAATCTAAGTGCACACATCTCCCTATGTATAAACATACATTATTTAAAATATCAGAAACGACCATTTGCTATAATAATCATACAACATAACTATAGTGGTTTAAATCTATAAAGCTACAAACAAGATGTCACCATGAGTCGCACAAAATAATGGAGTGAAACCTAATAATACCAAGAACAAAGGTTAGTAACATGAAGTAGAACCAGCAATCCAGCCTTTGATCCTTTGTTTAGATTGTAAAAGATTGCCTAAAATCTAACAGATCATCACTGACAAGTCACAAGTCTATCTCTAAGACTATTAGTTACTCCATCACTATATAAAGAGTTGAAAGAACCCAAGGGAACCCTAATTCTATTTGAACAAAATCGAAGACCTTTTCAATTATTAGAATAAGATATCCTAGCTTTGACTCGCATCCGTACATGGATTGCACTCTAAGATCTTGGAGTTCAGTAAATAACACCATTGTAAATGGAAGATCTGAACAGAGAACTCCATTTCAAAGAAGAAGGCTTAGTCACTAGCAAGCACCCATCATTTCCAAAGGCAAATGGTGTACTAACCCATCATTATTGATATTGCTTTTCCAGGTATATTTTCTGACACTTGGCTCGCTGGTACTATTTTTATGGTTATGTTGTTGTTACCATTCTATTGTCGCATGTCATCTTCTTGTGCCGAGGGTCTATCGGAAACAACCTCCAGAATAGGGGTAAGGTCTGCGTACACACTTCGCTCCCCAGACCCCACTAGTGGGATTATAGTGGGTTGTTGTTGTTGTAAATGGTGTTCTAACTATTTCCACATACGTACCCATCATTTTTCTTCTTTTTCTTTTTTATATGTGTTTGTGTGCAGACCTAATTTATTGTTTAGTTGCTTAATAAATGGCAGATCACATAACCTACACGTAACTATCAATTGAATTGGAAACCAAAGCAAAAGGATTGCTGAGCGGCATAATACTTGCTTTCCCTTTTCAAACTCATTATACTAATCAGTGCAGCAAACCCTAACAGCAACAACATCAAATACTAAATAGCAAACGTTTTACGGAACTAAACGAACCCTTCTGAGGCCCAATTAAAGAACAAAATCCCTAAATTTTCATAATAAAATCAGTAAATTCTCAGCTTATTTTGTAATAATACTGAACAGAACTCATATACAAAATTTAAAATAAAAATAAAAATTGTGCAAGTACCTTCACTAGAATGGGATTTGTGCTTCTCCTTCTTGGATTTGTCCTTCTTTTCTTTCCTTCGCTCTTCATCCCCTTTGATATTCTGGCGTTTGCTTTTCACTTCATCTAGACACAAACACGTATAAGCCCATATATATATATATATATATATATATATATATATATATATATATATATATATATATATANGAGAAGAAGGCGAACTTCTCTTATGCTTCCTCTTCTCCTCCGGCGTCTTCTTATCGCTCCCCATTTACTCGCACCTCTGATTCTATTTGCAGAAGAACAAATCTTGAGATTGTTGTCTTCCTTTTATTTATTTTAGTAAATTTATATTTATACTAACTACTATTGATAAGCTTAAATGAGATAGAATATATATTGAATATTTCTTGCATATGCATATAATAATTAATTTTATATATTTTACTTTACTATATTATAGAGGAGCGAGTCCGGAACCAAAATGTGGTTCTTTTGGACTCAAAGAACAAAAATGAGCGGAAAAAGAATATAGTGACTGTATAGGTCCAAATTTGGTAACCACAGTAACGGATAAGCAAGACAAAGGACAGGGTCGACCACGATACAACGACTGCAGGTCGTCCTCATAAAGGTTGATGCCAGAAGCGGGCAGCTAAGATCGGATATTCTTTATGCTGTACCTTTTAGGATTTTTGGGGAATGTGTCTTATAAATAGGAAGAGATAGGGGACG